CTCTTTAAGAATTTTTCAGTTTGTTGTAATCCACACAGTCAAAGGCTTTAGCATAGTCAGTGAAGCAGAAGTAATGTTCTTCTGGAATTCCTTTGCTTTCTCTATGATCCATTGGATGTTGGCAATTTGATCTCCAGCTCTGCTGCCCTTTCTAAATCCAGTTTGTACATCTGGAAATTCTCAGTTCACATACTGTTAAATCCTAACTTGAATGATGTTGAGCATTACCTTGGGAGCCTGTGAAATGAGCACAATTGTATGGTAGTTTGAACATTCTTTGGCATTGCTCTTCTTTGGGATTGGGTTGAAAACTGACATTTTCCAGTCCTGTGGGCACCGCTTTGTTTTCCAAATTTGCCAGCATATTGAGTGTGACCCTTTAACAGCATCATCTTTTAGTATTTTAAATAGCTCATCCAGACCTGCTTGTGAGTGTTTAGGGGTCTCCTGGGGAGGCGTGGGTTGACAGTGGCCTGCCGTGGGGTCTCTGTTGATCTACTGGCAGCAGCAGTCCTGGGAGACATGGATTGTTGGCATAAGTCCTCTTGGAAGAGGTTGCCATTAGCCCTTTGGTAGTGCCTCTAACCCTATCATAGAGACTTCAGACTCCAGGACTGGGCTGCTGTAGGCCAAACAACTAACAGGGAGGGAACACCCATAAGCAAAAAATTGAATTAAAGATTTACTTAGCATGGCCCTCTCACCAGAGCAAGGCCCAATTTTCCCCACAGCACAGCATGACATGACTGCATAAAAGAAAAAGGTCAATTTCAGCTGGAAGAAAGAGGGAGTTTTGCATGGACTGTACTTACAGGTGAGAAGCAGTCCACAGAACTAAGAGCATGCACTTGTTAATTCAGCCTTAAGCAAGCAAAAGGACTAACATTAACAAAATGGGCTTATCCAAGTAGTTCCAGAAAGTTGGAGTGTACTCTGTAGGGGTAAGGGAGAATGAGCTACAAAACTGGAGATAGAGGATGTGTGTGTGTGTGTGTGTGTGTGTTAAACACTTCAGTTGTGTTCTGACTCTTTGTGACCCTGTGGACTGTAGGCTCTTCTGTACATGGGATTTTCCAGGCAAGAATACTGGAGTGGGTTGCCATTTCCTGCTCCAGGAGATCTCCTGACCCAGGGATTGAACCACGTCTCTTATGTCTCCTGCATTGGCAGGTGGGTTCTTTACCTCTTGTGCCTCCTGGGAAGACAGAGGATAGATCAGCTATATGAAGGAATCTGAACTTTTGTAAAGGAGTAAAGTTATTGATGGATATGAGTTTGAGTAAACTCCTGGAGTTGGTGATGGACAGGGAGGCCTGGCATGCTGCGATTCATGGGGTCACAAAGAGTCAGACACGACTGAGCGACTGAACTGAACTGAACTGAAAAGTTATTGAAAGAGTTTAGGCAGACTATAAGCAATCAGATAACTCTTAGATTGCTTTCTCTCTTTTCTTTTACTCTCAATAGCTTACCTATTTTTTCCTGTTTATTCACCTTTAAAAAAACCCATCTCAATTCTTAATCAATCAAGAAATGCATCAATACACATGCACACACATGCCTCCAGAAACGATGGTGTTTAAAACATAAAAATGCAAAGGTTACACCTCAAGATGGACCACTTGCTTAGAATTTTTTTTATACTGATAATTTTGATTCAGAAAAGAGTTGATCATCTCTTTGTAAAGTTTCATCTTATTTTTTTCAATATTTGTGTTATATTTTTTCATTTAATATGCTCAGCATCTTGAATTTTTATTTCTATTTTACAAAATTTATGATTTTTATTAAAAATGTTAATTCTTTGTAAATGTTATCTAAAATGCAGATGTAAGGATTTTAGGAAGTTCAAGTCACATATACTCATTCACAGTTTAGTAATATTTCTTAAAGGTTAAACATTTGTTCTTTAAGGTGTTTTTACATGCATACAAATAGAATCATGCTATTGACTTTATTCTACAAGATTTTTCACTTTAGGCCTCTGTAATATAGAATTATATCACTGCTTTTACTATACCATATCAGTATCAGTAACCTCAGTGATTGTCCCACTTCTTCTGTTCAATTCTACTCTGATTTACCTAGTTATTGTCTATAAAATTCTAAATCTAGTGCCCTTTTGTCAGGGTCTCCTGGTATCACCCCTGTCATATTTTACTTTGGCTACAATACCTGCTCCATCTCCATAACCCTCAGGATGTTCATTTCTGCCTGGCCTAGCTGCCCTCAAATCTGTTATTGGCTATAGTGTTTCTATGGTGGTGCTCCTACTTGCCTATGTGGTGCAGGCTGTGCCCAAACTGGAAACTGGGCATGATGCACAGTGGCATAAGGAGAAGTGATGACCTGGGAAAGAATATGTGTTAGTGGTGAAGACCTGGAAGAAAGCTTGATGAGGGTAGTACAAGTGGAGGACACATGGTATTCAATTCAGGTGTGGAATAAGCATTAATAATGTTAGGTTATAAAAAGGGAAGGTAATTTAGAAAATCTTATAAGGTAAAAAAGAAATTAATTATATTAGAACCCTTTGAAACTGATATTTTACTTTTTTAATCTAGTGAAACACCAATTTCATATGATTCAAACTGATGGTTATATACACACACACATGCTGAGATCAACATTCTTTTGCTTATCCTTTATGTCTCTTTTCCAGGCTTAAGTTTTTGAAATTGTGTTTTCTATAATTTTATTTTGTATGCTGCTTTTTAAAATTTAAGGTTCATTATAAAATTTTTCATGATATTTTTCTACTTATTAGGTTGAGTGGTTTTCCCATTTGGATGCACTATTGTATTGAAATTTAATTTATTATTGTTTTGAATTTAGGTTATATACAATTTTTATTTTTCTCATAGCTAAGTATTTTATCTCATCTGTTGTTATTACCTTAAGAAAAATTTCTTGTAATGGGAGTCTTAATTATAAGGCAAGTTTTAAATATTTGATATAGATTTTGAAATTGTGTTCAGGACAAGGTGTATGAATTTGTACTCTTGAATTACATAGTATGAAAGAGCCTGTGTCCTCAGAACCTCAGAAATTTTTTTAACTCTGACAGTTTTCTACAAACATAATAACAACTCCATAGTATCTTGGTTTGTCATTATATTTAATGACTATTTCTCCACATTTATTTTTTTAACTTATATAGATACTTTAGATTTTGAATCTGAAACTGTAATTTTTTTTTCTGCATGATTTGCACATGTGGGCATATGCTGAGATTTCTTTCACACAAAGGGTTATCTAAAAACAAGCCTCCATTTTCAAGTATGTTTCTGTTTCCTTAATTTTTTTTTTTTAATTATCAATTTTAGTTGTGGTTGTAAGGTAAGATATTCAGTTTATTTTTGACAAGTTTGGTAAGCTGTATCAACACCCATTTATGGGCAAATTAATTGTTTCTATGCTGATTTGATAATGGCCCTTAGACTTCTAATCTGTCTCTCTCCCTTCCCTCTAATGCCTTCTACTACATTCCTTTTTTAAAAATTGATTTTTACTGGAATGTAGTTGCTTTACAATGTTGTGTTAGTTTCTACTGTATGGCAAAATGAATCAGTCATATATATATGTATATAATATATGTGTATATTATATACATATGTATATACATATGTTTGTGTGTGTGTATATATATATATATATATATATATATATATATATATATATATAATCTCCTCTCCCATTTGGACTTCCTTCCAATTCAGATCATCACATTGCATTAAGTAGAATTCTCTGTACTATAAAGTATGTTCTCATTCATTATCTCTTTTATACATAGTACCATATATATGTGTCAATCCCAATCTCCCAATTCCTCCCACCTCTCTATTTCCCCCTTAATATCCACATATTTCTTCTCTATGTCTGTGTCCCTATTTCTGCTTTTCAAGTAAAATCATCTATAAGGTTCTTCTAGAGTCAACATATATGCATTAATATATGGTACTTGTTTTTCTCTGACTTACTTCATACTGTGTGGCAGACTCTAGGTCCATTCACATCTCTGCAAATGACCCATGTTCCTTCCTTTTTATGACTGACTCACATTCCACTGTATATATGTACCATGTCTTCTTTATCCATCCCTCTGTTGGTGGGCATTTAGGTTGCTTCCATATTCTGGCTATTGTAAATAGTGCTGCTGTGAATATCAGGGTGCATGTATTTTTTTGAATTATGGTTTTCTTTGGGTGTAAGTCCATTAGTGGGATTGCTGGGTCATACTGTAGTTATATTTTTGATTTTTTAAGGATCTCTATACTGTTTTCCATAGTGTCTATATCAATTTACACTCCCACCAACAGTGCATGAGGGTTCCCTTTTCTCCACATCCTCTCCAGCATTTCTTGTTTGTAGATTTTTTGATGATGGCCATTCCGATTGGTGTAAGCTGATACCTCATTGTAGTTTTGCTTTTCATATCTCTGATAAATAGTGATGTTCATGAGTTTGTTGGCAATTTGTTTGTCTTCATTGGAGAAATGTCTAGATCTTCAGCCAAGTTTTTTATTTTTATTTTTTTTTTTTTTTTGGATATTGAGCTGCATGAGTACTCTTGCCTGGAAAATCCCATGGATGGAGGAGCCTCTAGGCTGCAGTCCGTGGGGTCGCTAGGAGTCGGACACGACTGAGTGACTTCACTTTCACTTTTCACTTTCATGCCCTGGAGAAGGAAATGGCAACACACTCCAGTATTCTTGCTTGGAGAATCCCTGGGATGGGGGATCCACAGAGTCGGTCACGACTTAAGTGACTTAGCAGCAGCAGCAGAGCTGCATGAACTGCTTGTGTATTTTGGAGATTAATCCTTTGTCTGTTGCTTTGTCTGCAAATATTTTCTCCTATTCTGAAGGCTGTGTTTTCATCTTGTTTATGATTTCCTTTGCAGTGCAAAAAGATTTTAAGTTTAATTAGTTTATTAAATTCTTTACTTTGAAGCTACTGTAAATTTTTTAAAGCACAAATATGATATGTCACTATTCTGCCTCAGTGGGTTTCTATCACTTCTAAAATATGGATCAAATTCCTAACACACCTATAGAATTTTACCTTGATCAGACCTGTATTGGTTGTCTTCACAATAGTTTCCATACCTTTCCTCTGTAAAGATCACTTTCCTCTGGATAGATCACTTTTCCTATTTTTCCTCATTTACTTAACTCCATTCCTCACATAGATCTTACCATGAACATCTTCCAGGTCAGGGTAGATGACATGACTTTGAAGCTCTTATAGTCCTCTAAGCACTTTGTTTTTGTTTTTTCAAATATCATAGCACCTTTTTATTCATCTGGTAATGTAAGTAGTTACTTAATGCCTAGGTTCACAACTAGGTTAATGACAGACTTCATTTTAACCCCAGAATGGGGCACAGTGCCAAGAACATGTGAGGTCTTCGTGGTAGCTTCTCGATGAGTATTTGATAATGAACAAACTCTTGTCTGAATTTTTAAAAGACATTTTGTGATCCAGAGTGAAGAGTTTCTTTAATATCAGAATTTGAAGCACAGTGATGTCTACTTCTTTCAGTATCTCTGGCATGTTCTTTGTAACTAACTTTATTTGTTCCTTTCAGGTAAAAGTCATTAACAAAGTCAATGAGTAAAGAAAATGACTCTTCTGTGTCTGAATTTGTATTCCTGGGGCTTTCTACCTCCAGACCAGTGCAGAATTTCCTCCTTGCCTTCTCTACAGTGTTTTATGTAATAATTGTTCTGGGTAATCTCCTTGTTGTGATTACAGTGACCTTTGACCCTCATCTACACTCCCCCATGTACTTCCTTTTAGCCAACCTCTCATTTATTGATTTGTGTTTTTCTACCTTAACAGTTCCTAAGATGATCTCTGACCTGTACTCTGAATGCAAAACCATATCCTTCCAGGGGTGTGTCACTCAGATATTTATCCTTCACATCCTGGGTGGATCTGAGATGGTGCTGCTCACTGCCATGGCCTTAGACCGATACGTGGCCATATGTAAGCCCCTGCACTATCTGACCATCATGAGCCAACGGGTGTGCCTTTTGCTTCTGTGTGGTGCTTGGGCTATTGGCCTCATTCACTCAGTGGTCCAGTTAGCTTTTGTGATCCATTTGCCTTTCTGTGGTCCTAATGAAATTGATAGCTTTTACTGTGACCTTCCTTGGTTTATCAAACTTGCCTGCATAGATTCCTACAGAATGGAATTCATGGTCACTGCCAACAGTGGGTTCATATCCGTGGGCACTTTCTTCTTACTGATTGTGTCCTACGTTTTCATCCTGGTCACTGTATGGAAACGCTCTTCAGGTGGTTTGTGCAAGGCCCTCTCCACTCTGTCAGCACACGTCACTGTGGTGGTTCTGTTCTTTGGACCATGCATCTTTGTTTACATGTGGCCATTTCCCACGGTGCCAGTGGATAAGTTTCTTGCCATTTTAGACTTTCTGGTTACACCCATCCTGAATCCTGCCATTTACACACTGAGGAACAAGGACATGAAGATGGCTATGAGGAGCCTGAGTAGTCAGCTCCTGAGTTGGAGGAAGGTCTCCTAAGTAGCTCATGGAAGCCCAAGTTACTTCAAACGACTTCATGTAATACAAATGCTTAAATAAATATATAAAAATTGGGGCTTTAAAATTTTTTTTAAGACAGTCACCATTTTATAGTATTCTGACTAGACCATTGATTATGAGGTTACATTGAATTCTCTGGGTAACAAGTTGTTTGCTGGCCAAATTAAAACCCTGGGAAATGTTTGGTGGAAGATTTTGAAAAAGCATCAGTTGCAGACTTTGAATCTTCTGAGTATACAGTCTACACATTAGAATACCTGAATTCAGTTAGTCAATTAAATTTGAGCAATTCATTAACATAACTAATATTATCAAACTTTGTGGGAACTATGAAACATCCAATTGTCCTTTGATTTTAACCTAGGATAGGAAAATTTTTTTTTTGAAAGACAAAAATTACATAAGCGAAGATTTAAAACCTGTGGCAATAAAATGGTGTAAAAAAAGTAGCAGACAGAAGTGATAATGTAGTATAATAAGGGGAGACTGACAGATGTGAGGAAAGCATGAGAGAGAGACTCAGAAATACTATGTTTCATGAATTTGAAACTATGCTCCAATTGTTTGCCTCAATTTCAATGGACTCAACTCATCTCCACTTGGCTTAGGGCAGGGAAATTTATGTATACATTGCTGTATCATGCTGTTTGAAATTGTGACTTAATCCATCAATGAATATTCCTCAAACATCGGAACATACTGACTTGATCATATCCTGGCTGGTATTATTATTATCCAACAACTGCTCTATCCAAATTGTTTGCTGACTATATTTCTCTGGTAACTTATCTTTTATACTCCTTTTTGCCTCAAAACATGGTATCAATATGTGTTAGTGTCTGTAATCTGTATAAATTACAAAACTGATTTAATTTATGGTTTGCTTTGTTAACTAGAAGACTGAGCCAAATTCCCTGCAAAACTATGTTTGAGTGTTTGTGATCCGAGATTCTTTTAGGATTATACAATCAGTTGTATATTTTATATTTTTCTTGTTTGTTGCTTTTATTTGTATTTTTAGTATATTCTTGTTAGGTACATTAATTGAAAAGAACAGTGTAAAGCCAGATTTCTATTTGAACAATTTATCTTACTTTTGAAACTAGCAAGAGAAGGAAAAAGACTAAAGTTCTAAGCACAAAAGTTCTGAAGGGCAAAACTGAATCACCTGAACTCTTCAGAGTGAGGAGACAAAGATCTTTTAGAATCATAATCCAAACTTGGAAAGGATGTATTCAAGGAACAAGAACAAACTTGAGTGTACCAAGTCTTATGAAAACTGCATTCAGATTCAAATAGGCTCAGTACTTGATTGGATTGAAGTACCTTAATCTTTTATGCCTCATAGAGGAGAGAGTAGATAGGTTGTGGAGAAATATTATGTCAGAACTACATGATCTTTTATGTACAATGTGTAAAATACAAAAAATAATTGTTTTAAATAATAATTATGGGATATGCAAGAAGAAGGGATATATGACTGAAAATTAAAAAGAAAATAGTTAATAGAAACAGACCACAGATGCTCAATGGTTGAAATTAGCAAAGAGTGTAAACTAACTCATAAAATCAAATGTGACATTAGGAAGTTGAAAAACTGAATGTTAAATTACAGAGAGAAACAGTATCTAACAAAGAACGAAGTTATATTTTAGAAGCGAAAAAGAAATATGCTTCACAAGATGATGGAGGATTAGGTGGACGTGGAATACATGTCTCTCCACGGATACATCAGGAATACACCTTCAGACACAGAAGTGCATGCAGAACACCAGGTGAGAGTGGACAGGAGTACCTGACCAAAAGAAAAGAATATATAGACCTGAACAAAACTCGGTAGGATTAAGGAACTAGGGGGAAAAACAGGAGAGTTAGTAGGACTGGACCTGCCCTTGGTGGGTGGGGAAACTGAAGTAGGGGTCCGATCCCCACATTGGGGCAATTGTCTGAGTCAGAGGAGAAACATTTAAGGCTGAGAGTGAAACAGCTGATCTGTGACAGCCTAAATTGAATGAGAATCAGTCCTTGCCACAGCCATACATACCCCAGATAGGGATGCAGGTCCCCTGGAAGGTGCGGTGGATGGGAGCTGAAGTTTAGGGATTGTGGAGCAATCCCAGGGCGAGGGCTGCTGTTGACTGAGGAGAGACGGATTGAGGGGATGTGAGGGAGGAGACTGTGGTGGGAAATGCCTGTGGAGGAAAGCCAGGCAGCCATGGAAGCAAGGCAATACTGCTGAGTCATGCGTTAGGGGGTGGAGCCATCACTATAGCCTCTCTCTCCGCATACACCAGCATCAGCAGCTGAACAATAGAGACGCTGGCCCATCATATCCCTGACCACTGAACTAAAGAGCAGGATCCCACCCAGGGTGCACCTTTAAGTGCCTGACATGCTGATCTACAGAGTAGGACCCCAGCCAGGGGGGGCCCCTCTATGTGTCTGACCTTCCAAACAACCGAGAAGGACCCCAGGCAAGGGAACACTCTAAGTGCCTGAGCGGGGTTGGATGGGGGGAAGCTATGGAGAAAGGCTGGCCAAAGAGGCCTTCTGATCCCCAGCTACAAGGGGCTCAGAAAAAGACTCTGATAGGGCCATAGCTTCTGTGTCAGAGACTGTCCATGTCCCTGCCCACTAGGTGCCACCAGGGTCCCTACAAGCCAAGCAACTGCACCACCTTCACGCTTAACTCCCCCTGGGGCAGAGCTGCGACAGGCAAAAAGAGCCTTGTGTCTATGTGTGCAGGGTTGCTTCAGGAGTGTCCAACTCTGCGACCCTGTAGACTGTGGCCTGCCAGGCTTCTCTGTCAGGGAAGGGGGTTCTCCAGGCAAGAATACTGGCGTGTATTGACCAATACTGGTTGCCATACCCTTCTAGAGCACTATATTTCCTGCTGCCCTAGCCGCCAACTCCCCTGAGTACCTGGTGCTGCCAGAACCCATGCGACCCAAGCAGCTGCACCACCTCCACACTTGGCCCTCACAGGGGCACACCCGAGTCCTCCAGGGCAGCCTCAGGAGCAAACCCTGGTGGACGACCTGCATGCAGAAGTGGAAATAAAACCACAGTTGAAACCCAGGGATAGTGTGGCTAAGGAAGAAGACCCAAAACCTTCCCACCAGCTGTACAAGCTGCAGATTAAATCCACACAATCAACTAGGCAGATCTGACTATGGAATATATAAAAGGTCATTGAGAGCTCCCACAAAAGACAAAGCACTAGTTCTGACACCTGTGGACATTGGAGGCAAGAACACAGAGAAATATGACCTGATTAGAATCTGAGCTAACCCCATAGCATGTCCAGAGATCAGCATAGTGTTGGAGGGCATCCCAGGAAGGTAAGATGGACTGTGACTTCCCAGAGACAGAAAGGACTCTGACAGCAGTGATTCAGGAAAAACATTTACTATTCTTATGTTTTGATTTGATCTGTAGATTCTTTTGGATTTTTTCCTTTTTGTTTTTCCTTTTTATCCCCCTCTGTTGTAGTTGTCAATTTTATTGGCATTATAAAATCTAATTAAGCTTTTGAGATTTTTTTTTTCCTCAGTCACATTTTTTATTGTTGATATAAATCTTTGCCTCTATGTTGGACTTTTGCAGTTCTGTGGAGTTTTCCTTTTTTTTTTTTTTTCTCTTTTTTTAGTTTTAATTTAAAAAACAATTTTTACACCTAATATTTTTCCTAAATTTATTCCTTTGCTTTTCCTACTGTTCTTTTCCCCTTGCAGTAAATCTTTAATGCATATAAATCTTTTTCATCTACCTATCTTCTTTAACTTTGCATATCTATTCTTTCTTTTCTTTCTTTGCTTTCCTCTCAACATATTTGTTAGTTTTATTTTCAGTGCTTTATTCCCCACTTGGTGCCTTGCTTTAGTTTTGTTTTCCACCATGTGCTTTAGTTAGTTTTGTTCTGTAGATATAATTTTTGGTTTCCTTTGTTCGCTGGGTCAATCTATTGTACTTTATTTTTATTGGACTGTTTTGATTTTGTTTATGGGTGTATATGTATATATGTCTATTCAGTCACACTTTTTATTGTTGTATTAAACCTCTGCCTCTATGTTGGGCTTTTGCAGTTCCGTGGAGTTTTCCTTTTTTGTTTCTTCCGTTTTTCTCTCTCCTTTTTAAAAATAATTTTAATTTTTTAAAACCTATTTTGGGGGGCATTTATTCCTTTGTTTGCCTTCCCTACTGTTCTTTTCCCCTTGCAGTTAATTTTCAATGTATATAAATCTTCTTCATCTACCTATATTTAACTTTGCATATATATTCTTTCTTTCATTTCTTTCTTTCCTTTCCTCTCAACATATTTGTTAGTTTTGTTTTCGTTACTTTATTCCCCACTTGGAACCTTATTTTAGTTTTGTTTTCCAGTTTGTGCTTTAGTTCGTTTTGTTCTTAACTGGTAAGTATAAATATTGATTTGCTTTGTTCACCTGGTCAATCTACTGTACTTTATTTTTTTTGGACAGTTTTGACTTTGCTCATGGGTGCATATGTATATGTGTATATTCCATTATTTTAATTATTATTTGCCTGATTTTCCACTGCCATTTGTCCAAGGTACATCTTTGGTTTTTCGTTTTTGGATATTTGTTTTAATCTCACTTAATGCCATAACAAAACACTTGTGGAATCTTCATTTCTGACCAGAGATAAAGCCCTGAGTCTTTGGAGTGGGAGCACGGACTCCAAGACCCTAGACCACCAGAGAGCTAACCCTGACAGTGAAAGTGAAGTCGCTCAGTCGTGTCCGACTCTTTGTGACCCCGTGGACTGTAGCCCACCAGGCTCCTCCATCCACGGGATTTTCCAGGCAAGAGTACTGGAATGGGTTGCCATTTCCTTCTCCAGGGGATCTTCCCAACCCCGGGATTGAACCCAGGTCTCCCACATTGTAGGCAGACGCTTTACTGTCTGAGCCTCCAATAGTGAGAACTCACACAAAGGAAACCACTTGAAAAGAAGACCTGGTGTCACCCAACCACCAGTAGCACCCTGTGCAGGACACCTCATCTAAACAACAAAACAAAAATAAAAACCCAATCATTGTCAGACAAGATTACTAGCTGACTCAGCCAGACCCATCAGAGGAAAAACAAACAAAACTCAGCAAAAATCTCACCCTATAGGAAGCTTACACAAGCCACTGTACCAACCTTAGGAGGACAGAAACCAAAAGGTAGAGAGAATTCAACCTTGAAGCCTGGGAAAAGGA